AATTAAGAATAAAAACATCCCATGCTTTTCAGTATAACTGTAAATTAAAAAAACAACTTGCACAACATAGACAATAATCTAAGTGGGAGACTTTATTGCCTGGGTGTCCTAAAAATATGTTTGAACTTCCTTCCCTCAGTCACTTTCTGAGCAGGATACAGACCAATTTGCTATTGTAATTCTTATTAACAATATACAAGCAGGCAAATAAAGAGCGATGTAGAGAAAGCGGTTTGTTAGTGAGGATTTCTGGATTTCTGTTTTCAGTTCCAAAATTGTTAATTACATTATTTCAACAAATCATTTGAGTTTTGTGTTCACTTATCTGCACGTTAAATGGATGTATTTGAGAACAGGTTAGAGTTGCTTTCCAGCCCTTCTTGTCGCTGCTCAGTACAGAGGGTTTAGGCACCTGCCTTTACTGAAACTGGCTGCCTCATGTTCTTTTTGCTTTCCCTTATGTGTTTTTAGATACAGTTTGATAAAAATCAGCATACATGCACACTGTACCTCTCTGTTATTTAATAATCTGGGATTATTTCTCAGTTTATCAAGTACTGGTTTAAAATCCGATGGTGCACCCCATACATCTATCTGCACCTCTGTCCAAGTCTGGGGGAAGGCTCCTATCAGGTACTGGCACTTGGAAGTGCACATCATTTTTCAGGACACAACCTCACTGCACACGATAAGATGAGCGTTTTAAGTGCTCTGATGGGCTGCCTCTATGTTTAAGAAAGTAATAGTTTAAAAACTCCCACACGAAAGGTGCCAGGACTGAAAGCTGGCCCTCACCTTCCCTTGGCAGCCCTTCCACAGCCCCACAAACGCTGGGGCTCAGAGCTTGCCTAGCCACCTAACTCTCCCAACATTCTCGCTCGGCATCTCCAGAGCCCGGCTCCAAAATGGAAAACTATTAAACACACACACCACCACCACCACCCCCAAAAAAACCCTCCACAGACATGTAGTTGCTCTAAAGTGAAATGGTGTAGGAAAGTGTTATTCTGACATATTTCTTGCTGATGTGGTCTGATTCTCATTTATATTTCCAACCATGCTGGCATTGCAATTCACTGGACCTTTTTAAAATGATGGTTTTTACAGTTCTTGTGTAGTGGGAAGGTATCCATAGGGAAATGAGAATCAGCTCCTTGAAGTCCAAGCATTCCCTTCTCCCCTCCTTAATATCCAGAGCTACATAAAATACTGATCAGTTCCCGAACCTAACTAGTGTGAATGGAAATATTGTACTTTTGTTATAATGCCTTAAAAACAAAATTGCAAGTTCCTGAGTTTCATCGTGGAGATGCAGAGGAGATAAGTTTTTGATAGTGTGTTAGTTTGGTAGTTTACATTTTTTGTATCCTGCATTGGGCTTGTGCTGCATATGTTTATGAGACTTCCTTGAGACAGATGACAGGGAGTATGAAAATCCCTTTAGTGAAGCTCTAATCTGTTTGTTTTTTGGTTGTTTTTTTTCCTTTACTTTAACTGTGACGCTATTTATAAATCTAAATGTACATACAGAGGTCATTGGTTGGCTGAACTTAAACCATTTTACTTAGTAAATTTAATTAAGAAAATACAGTGCAACTCATAAGCAAATGAGTTTTTCCTAGTTTTAAACCAAACCACCCTCTTGAGTGCTGATTGCCTTGCTCGACCCCTGGTGATATAGAAACAGGCAAAATTAAAAAGGACATTAAAGCTTCATTAAATCTGAAACACATTTAGTACAGTGACATATCTGCAGGCTATTTCAGGGAAGATTACATACTCTTTGGTAAGTTTCTTAATTTATAATACCTTGACAATCTTGCAGGGAGGAAACAACTCTGACTAGATGAATCGAGTGATGGTTCAGGGGGATGCAGAACTGGCACACCGTAGGTCTGTGGCTGTATTGCTTTGCAGTTCTCAGTCAAGGAGCAGCTTCACTGAGAAATGTGTTTCTTTTCTAACAAACCCCAAAGAACTTGTTCCTGATGCATTTCGGATTCTTCAAAGCTCATTTATATACCCCATACTTAAGGTCTGGCAGAAAACCGCTCTTTCCCCAATTATTCTGCTGCCTTTGGACCCCTGCTGAGGCGTGTGGTGGTCAGGGAGAGGAATCGTCAATGAGAATGGAAATGCTTAGTGTGAATTCATCATCGAGGCAGTGGTCATTTTTCTGCTTAAATAAGATCTGCAGAATGATGCCCTGTGCATATAGCCATACTTATCTTCTTGTTCTACAGTGGGATAACTATTACATTCCTACAAGTTTGTAGCTATTGTAATGACTACTCTTAAGTCAGTAGTCATTGGAAAAATCAGGATTTCTTTTGCTTCTGGTCATGGAAAAGTGTTTGGCATTTATAGGTTTATTTCTAGGCATTTATAGGCTATCACAGCAGCAGTGCTTCTTAGGACCTCGAGCAGCTTCTTGGAAGTTAAGGATGGTCCTCCCGAAAGAAGAGAAGATGAAAAAGGGTATGTTTTAGTAGCTCCTGGTAGCTGAGGTAGCTCCTTAAGACTGAGTATAACAGAAAACGCAGGGTCTTTGCTTAACTATTTAGCAGTGTATTTCAAAGCCTGCCATCAGAGAGTGACTGGAGTGACACTCTGAACTGGGAGAAGCTGTGAACCAGACACAGGTGATAGAAAGGATGGCGATCAAGCCTGCTTAGCTCAGGTTGGTTTGTTACAAGGATGAATTTGCTGCAGAGAAGCACTGCGCTCAGCGCTACGCCAGAAACAAAACTGAAAGGCAAAATTCACCCCAAAGAGTTGAGTCTTAAAGGCAAACCTGGAAGACAAGCACAGAAGAAACCCAGAGGAGGAAGCTAGCTTAAATCGTATCACTTCGGAGAACCTGAAGAGATCTTGCTTGTCTTGTCACCTTAATGTTGTTCCCTATTCCACTGTCTTCTGTAAGCGTGATTTCTTCTACATTCTGTAGTTGTTGGTCTTACAAACCAAGCAAACACAGCGATCCCCAAATGGAAGTCTACAAGCAGATCACAACTTTCAGAGAGATGAGTGGCACAATAGAAACGTCTCAGAAAAACTGCATATGTTATTGCTAGTAAGGATCCTTGGTCAACACCATGCTGATATAGCAGACATAATGGCTCCTCCTCAGTCATTATGCAAACTCCCACTGATAAGATATTTATGAAAGATTGGGGTGATTTTTCAGTGATGTATGGAAATTTAGATATGCAGTTCCTGTAACTGGGATGTGTCTGTGCAGTAAGTAAGCGTTCAGAGATATTGTACAAACCAAGTAGCCCCTTTAGAACCCACTTGATATGTCTGTAGATTTTCAGGACAAATACTATCTCAATATTGTGGAAGCTTCTTTTAAGAGTAGTCACCAAAAAAAAGGTTTCATCTCTTTGGGTTTCTCTTGCGTGCCTCTCTTACACAAATACTTCAAGACCTACTCTGCTTCTGTAATGTCTTTCCTCTGAGGATCTGGAAGAAGTTTACTGTATTTGCTAGGGCTTGCAGCCAAATGGCTAGTACGATACTAGGTTTGGACAGCAGCTGGAATTGCAGAAAGGGCACCATCTCTGCTGTTTTCTGGTTGCTTCCACTCATGCTGTCAGCTTCTTCTTACTACCTTCTCATGACCTTTTTCCTGAACTGGCAAGGCTTGAGTATGTCTACTAGTCTTTGCCCCATCACTCCCCCACCTTGCTACAGCTCTGTCTATGCCTTATTGTTCATACTTAGGATAGTTTTGTGCTGCCAGCCAGGCTGAAATTTCATCATAGGTTAGTTAGCACAGCTGCCTCAGCTGCAATCTGGCTAGGTCAAGTAACCACGGCACTGAGGAGCTCAAATATCAGTGGCAATACAGGTGCTGTGAAACAGCTTCCGCCCAGCATTGACGTGTGGTTTAGCCTTTGCAGTACATGACATGATGGCTTAGACCTTCAGCATTGATGCTTTTGCTCAGTCTGACGTGAATATACCTAGTTTATCATGCAGACAAAGCAATGATAACAGTGCATCCGTAACCTTTTTGGTAGACCTCCTTCTGAAGCTTGGTAAGGGGAGCATTCACGAAGGTTAACTGGAGTGTAGAGAAGCTCGTCTGACTATGGCTTCTCTGTAAACCTTGGAGAGAGGTGGGCTTCTCCAGAAAGCAGGTCAGAACAGAGCTGCTCTGAATGCCCTTTTGGAGGAGCCTGTGTCAGCTCTGAAAACCCTTGTACTTCACTGAATAGTAGGCAAAATAACCTAAACTAGCTGTATTTTGCTGAAATTATTTCCAAGGTTCAGATACCAAATGGGAAAACCTAAAGTCTTATATGAAGAATTTGTCATGGAATATTTATTAGCTATGGCATTATGGCAACAGTAGTATTGTTGTTGGGTCTAATACTGATACTAGCAGATACTCTAGTAATGCATCAGTTGGCTTATAAAACAGTGTGGGCAACAAATCCAGTTGATACCGTGTGCCATTGAAAGTGGATCTGAAGAAAAGACGAAGTGTCTTTTTGTGGGTGCCGTGATCTCTCTCCAGATCCCACTCACAGGTTCCTAGCTGGGTTTGACACCGATAAGGAAGCAAACCTCAGCTGTGTAACCCAGATTTTACTCTGAGCCAGTTAAGGAAGGACTTTGGGAGTTCAGTGCATGCTCTACAATACCTGTTCATTGCAGATAATTATCAGTAAAGGTCAGTGTCATTGGCCTCGCTATTGAGGCTGAACTGGTTTAATTTAGAGAGTCCTCAGGAACTTGGGCATCAAACAGTGTTACTGAGTGGTACAGACAAAAGAGCTTGAGAAATACAGAACTATTCAGAAACATAGAACAAGGAGTAATTGTTGTGAATGACTCCATTCTAAATACAGCTCTTTGTGTGTTTTCAGAATTACTTTTGCTGACATTTTCCAATTTATACAATAGTAAGAGTTGAGTACTTTTCTCTCTTTAAGAAAATGTGCCCTCCATGCAAATCTATATAACTAGACAAATATTATTTCCTTTCCCAGCTTGCTCTTGGGAGGTTTCCATATCCTCAGGTAAGATTGTTCATTACTGCTGTTTGCCACTGTGACATTCATTCCTATGTATGAAGGTGCAGAGAGCAATTGTGAACATTTGAGCCACATACAAATAAATCTGTCCTGTTAAATTGAAAAGTGGTATCTTGAAGGAGTCATTTAGAAGTCTCTATTGATATTTTTTTTTTCTCTTTTTCTCTTTTCCAAACTCTAGATTTTCTTTCCCTGGAGACAACGAAAATTATGATGTTAATGATTGTTTTGTTGTGAGATTAAAAAATAATCCAGTATGTACAACAGTGCTTTTGAAGCAGGAAGGTGTATCTACTCCTTTTTTACATTTTAATTTTTAATTCCAATTTTGAATAATGGTACAATGATCTAAAATCTTCTCAAATCACAAATATAATGTGAATGGAATCCTTAAGAGAGCTCTGGATTCTCCCTTTTAAGAGGACCTAATTTTAGTATTTTATTTAGATACTGGCATTTTCTAACTTTCCACTGACCTAACTCAGTTTCATTGAAGTTGGTGGTAAAACTATTTCCATCTTCAGTGGCAATGGTTAGGCCAATGCTGAGCCCTGCGTTACCACATAATACTTTACTTTGTCTGTATGCTTGAAAAAACATGAAGCTCTGAACAAAACAACCAATCCAGAAATAGGTTTGATGATTACTTTAAATTCTTACTGCAAGATGGATGTTAGAATTCATAGTAACAAACTATTCTGTAATTCCTCAAATTATTCTTTCCTGGGAGAGGGGAAAAAGTGAAGTGTCCAGGGACTAAAATGAATTATTTGAATGTGGTTTTTATGTTTTCGTATGTTTTATGAACACTGTTTTCTGCATCTTGGTCTATACAGATCAGAGTGCCTGGAGGCATGTCTGATTTAAAGGTGGTGTTGGTCTGTGCTCTTTAAGCATCTATTAACTTGCTATTATTATGCAAATAACTGTTGTAATACACATACTAATTTATGCATGGTTAGATTATGCAGATGCCTCACAAACATGGTTATTGAATAATAGGCTGGGACTCATTCTCTCTCCCATTTTTATAAGCTGTTTTAAGCAAATTCTCCTGACACTTTTATGGACTTGCAAAGGTTTTGCATATGTAGAAATATACTGATTTTTCACTTTCTTATCTCCTATCAAAATGTTTACAGACTGAGAGAGCTGTAGCTGGTTAGCAGAACGTACTTTGCATATTTTATCCATATTTTAAAATGTACCCTCTCCTTTGAAGAGAGGATTGAAAAAGAAGCTCTTGTGTTGAAGTGTCCTCCATACATTGGCATACTCACTTGTGCTCGCCGAGTGTCTTGATGTTTATTGTAGATGGTGTATTACAACACTAAATCAAAGTGACGTGGGATACAATTTAAGATAACTCTGTTCACAGAAGTGTTGGAGCTTGGGGAAGGAAGTTAGAGCGCATACATTATGTATGATTCTAGACAAAAATTTGTTTTCTGAATTGGGAGCAAAACATGATTGCTAGTTTAAGATCCTTTTTGCTATTCTAATTAAAAAACAGATCGGGTTTGTAAAAGAATATTTGGCGAGTCAGTAGTCCATGAAATTGTATATATTTTTAATGTAAAACAGTTGAGGAGGTGAAACTTTAAAATGTAGCTATTAAGCTTTTCAAGCAACTGCTTTTCATAAGGATTTTTATGTGAAGAACATGTATTTTAGACATGTACTTACATAGCTGGTCACAAGAAGCCTTAGAAACCCACTCTGATTAGGGGGATAATTAGTAGGGGTTTTTTTTAATGTCTAAATATCTATTTATCTCCCTAGGTAAGGGCCTGATTCTGCAGTCACTCACTTGAGTAAATCCTCCTCACTTCAGTGGGCTATTCAAATGATCGAAGCTAATTGTATGAGTGTTTGCAGAATTTGTCCCTAAATAACTTGAAGTTACTTCTCTCTGAAAATGGAAAGTATGAATACACGTTTGAGAACACCTGAAATTTTCTGCAAATGAATGTTTGTCTCCAGCTGTAGCTAGGGAAAAAAAAATGTTTTTTCCTCTTTCTCTATTTTTAAGACACAGACAAATGGTGTGTGTAAATTCAGTTTAAATGAATAAGATTTATAGAGGGAATCACTGCAGTGTGGAAATTCAGGACTCCTGCAATATGCCAGTAAGACTAAAGGATGATTTTTTTTTTTCGGGCCTTTAGTAGAATATTTTAATGATAGAACTTACCACTTCTCATTTTTCACATTTTTTATAAGTATTTATTTTGCTAACACTTACTTGTCACACTATCATTATTTAATCTTATGTTCACAATAAAGTCTTACCTTGAAAGCACTTAAGCATGCAAGCAACTACTCATGTAAGTAAAGTTGCTTATGGGTGTGTTTAGAGTTACTGTAAATTTTTTTTTCTTGATATGCAGCTAACGTCATAATCTGTAGCTAACTGCCAAAGGTAGTGATCTGAACAAGGAAATAACAAATAGTAAAGAACAGACTTTTCCACTATAAAAACTTTGCACAGGGAACTCTAATCCTTAAAATGTAGTAAATTTCTAGAACTGTTACGGTTTTCATTGTTTTGTTGTTTGGTTTCCTGGCATGGTATTGCAATGTGCTATCGCTTGCTCGCTGTAATGTAAAACTCCTTTTGGAAGTCGCAGGGTATGACACTCATAGGATTTTCTGTAGATACAAACGTAAGCACTTAAGGGTATATTCTTCCCCTGATGTGTTTGCAGAACTCTATTAAAACTAATAGGAATGGTGCATGCGCTCACACGCACACACAAAAAATATTCTTTTGAATAAAGTTCTTTCCTACGTAAACATTTAAAAAAGAAAGGAAACGCCTTTCACCAAACCCAGTTGCCAGCCAATAGTCTGTCCAGCTTTTTAGGTATCTGAAGAAGGCACATAGAGAAAATAAGTTTCAAATTTCTTTTAAAAGTTTGACCTTAATTTATATGATTTTGATTTTACATTTCTGTGCAGAATGAACTGTAAAAAAAAAAACCCAAAGGCCGTGGCACCTCACAGTACATTTAATTAAATTTTAAGTTGGAACCCCAAAGATGTGCAGTGGCTGAGCAAACTGCGAGACACAGTTAATCACGTAGATTCAAATTCAGTATATTGTATAAAACCACGATGGGGGCAATGACTTGTTTAATGATAATGCAATTTAGGAGAAATGAAAAGAATTGCCCACTAAATATTCTCGGCTTGTAGTCAAACTTTATACAAAGCAGGATGTTAAAAGGACGCTGCATCCATTAGGGAAATATTCCAAAGAAATAGTACTCAGCTGCCGAGGATTTAATCAGCTATAGGAAAGTGCGGATTACGACGACTGTATTTAAGATACTTTTGCATTTAGAGACATGTTTTCCTTCCTTTGGCTACAATTCCAAGCCTTGCTTAATAAATTACATGAAAATGACCTGAAGTTTAAAAAAAAAAAATCCACCAAAAAATCCTGTCCCCCATTCCGCACCCTCCTGCCCCACTGCTCCCCCCACCAAATCTGAGCAAATACTGCCCCCGGTATTGTAAAGCTTTGAATGTTTTCACACCCCATTAATTTATTACTTCTCTTTCCTCATCTTTAAATTTTTTTTCTTTCCTTTTTTTTTTTTTTTTTAAATTCAGGCTCCCCGCTGCTACAGCGATTTTCATCTTGTTGTTAATTTTCCCTGCTCCATATGGAGCTCCAGACATTTCACCTGGAGGCTGTACTAGATTTTGCTGTAGCGATCGCACTTCCGGAGGCCAAAACTGTCATTTAAGGTTCCTGGTGCATCTGTCTACGCCAGGCTTTTCACTGGCACCGGGAGGGTGTGAATAACAAATTGGATGCACCTGAGATTCAGATGATTAGTGTGTTTTGTGAATCTGGGCGACTTGTAAGCAGATAGCTGTAGGGATGGGGAGGGCTAAACAGCTACCCTGGGTGAATCTGTGCTCACACCTTGCATTTGGGATGTGCGGGGAAAGCGCGAGCATCCCGGCAGCCTGAACGTGGAGAGTAACAAATATTTCATCCTGCCTTGTCATTGATTAGAAAAGAGCCTTTAATTTCATTTCACCCCATGTTGTGATTAATTTGCATTCTTTGTCAGAAGTTAATGGAGTTTTTTATGGTTCACTCTGAAATCCTTGAAGACATCAGAGTTGATCTGATGTTTATACAACCGCCAGCGGAATTTTTTCATTTGATTGATGGAGAGCTTGATGTTATTCCAAACGGCTTTTTAAGCTGTTTTTAAGAATTATTTGAATAAAATGCAAGCAAGATATTGTTATAACGATCAAGATTATCTGTTAAAAATCTGTTTCAAATAAAGAACATGATAAGTAGAAAAAAAGATCAAAAAGACAGGAGAAATGATGAATACAGAAGATGATATTTGTTAAGATATATAATCCAAGGATTCAAGTAAGTTATTTCAAAATGTAGTGAAAGTAAGAGACACCTTAATTTCAGGTTTGGTTTTTTTATATATATATAAAGAGTTTATTTTTGCAGCATGATAAATAATGGGAATGAATTAGTAAAGAATTTAGTTATAGTTAGATTTTCCCCTTTCTTTTTATTCTCCCAGATTTTTCACCTTCATTTTACCAGCAATGCGAGCACAGAGCACTGGTGTCTCTAACTCGGAGAGACAAGACTGTCAGGCCTGTTAGTTCAACAAAATGATGACATACTACTCATCTCAAGGAAGAGGCATTCTTAAATCCCACTGCAAAGAAAACATAAGTGGATAATAGGAAATTTTATAGCCCAAGAAAGCATTCACTATAGACCTGCCATTGGTTTGCTTTATAAGAAAATACACAGGTGAAAAATCCTTGGTGAAAGGAATCTGCTTTTTGCTCCTCCTGTTAGGGAAAGGTTTGTATTTTCACCAAACCCCAGCATATAAAAAGCATGAGAGAGACGATGCAGAATATTCTGCGTGTGCTGGGCCAGATCCTCAGCTGGAGCAAATCAGTTCTGCTGCTCCAGGGAGATC